AACACCTAGTGAGGGACCAACGTGACCCGTGGAAACTTACGGAACTCGCATGGGACTCGCGGTTTGAAAACTAAGTCAAAAAATGCACTTCCTAAACACTTAAGTTTGAGAATAGACCATCGGTGGCAAAAAAATCCTGTAACAGTCCCGAGAAGGGCCGTGGAACACCTCCAACACCTCGGGAGAAATCAATGTAAGTTGGCGAAACTGACGGAACTAGCGCAGGACTTCCGGTTTGGAAACTAGGTCGGAAATGGTACTTTTTTCGCACGTAAGGTTGAAAATAGGCCTCGGTGGGCCAAAATCGTGTAACAATCACGAGAATGCCCGGGGAACACCTCGAACATCTCAGGAGGAACCAATTTGAGTTGTGAAAACTTAACGAACAGGCACGGGACTCCCGATTTGAAAACTAGGCCGGAAAATACACTTTTCTAACACTTGAGCTTGGAAGTAGGCCATCGGGGGGCTAAAATCATGTAACAGTCACAAGATGGGCCGGGAACACCTTAAAAACCTCGGGAGTGACCAACGCGAGTTGTGAAAATTTACGAAACTAGCACGGGACTCCCGGTTTGAAAACTAAGTTGGAAAGAGACTTTTTCCGCACTTAAGCTTGGAAATAGGACACCGGGGGGGGCAAAACCATGTAACAGTCACGAGAAGGACCGGGAAATGACCGAAACACCTCGGGAGGGTCCAAGGTAAGTTGCGGAGACTTACGGAACTAGCACGAGACTCTCGGTTTGAGAACTAAATCAAAAAATGCACTTTTTTTCACACTTAAGTTCGAAAATAAGCCGTCGGGGGCCAAAATCGTGCAACAGTCACGAGAAGGCCCGGGGAACACGTATTATTAACTCCATTCTTACATTGTGCTAATTTTAACATGTATCGCCCTTAATACCAGCCATGCTTCGCCGTGGAAAAAATCATCGCAGCCACTCTATGGGAACATTTACTCTGGTGAAAGTTTCCTGCAGTTGAAATGCAAATTGTCATGCTTTTTGGTAACTATACAGTGCCATTCCTAGGGAACAAAATCTACGTATATCCCAAATTTTAGTTGACTTGTATAAATCTTTCTTAGCCAGGCTTAAAATATAACCCTAATAAGCCCTCATCTATAAACAGGGTTTTATTTCACATCCTTTGGTCAAACGACTATTGCAGTAACATTTCAAATAAAAAATTAATTTGACAATGCTAAAGATCTAGTGATTCAGATAAAGTGCTAATGTTTCACACTTAAAATGTTGTTTGGCACTTGAATAAGGTCTAGAGGAGATTTAGCCCTCAAAATGGAAAAGAATTTGCTTAGGATTGATAACATAACATGACAGAGATTATGAATTGTTCATTTTATTCAATTAAACCAGTACGAATTTGCTTTATGCCAATCAATTCTGCAATCAATATAATAATCAATTAGACACAAAAAATGATTCCTTTTTTTTTTTTTTTCCTTCTTCCTGTCGAAAATCAAAATGGACAAAAACTACAGGACCCCATAGCCAACCAATTCACCATTAGTAAGGGGGAAAAAAAATAGAAACAACCCAACCCTAACCCAGTTCATGTGCCTTAGGTGTTGAATCCTAAAACTTATTAGCGTGTTTCTTATACCACTGGAAATCAGTGATGTTTGCTCCTGAATGGTTGGTAGAGTATCAAGCATCCATGATACTCTGTGAATTTACCACAAATTAAACGCGATCCACCATTGACTAGGAAATCATCAAAACAAACTTGAAATGTATTAAAGTGATGTAAAACGCATATTAATCAATTGATAGTGCAAGCGAATATGGATGCTTCTCTTATTTGACAAATTTATTTTGGTTACAACTAGTTTAATTCTCCTCCCGCACGAAATTGCTGGTCCATTTTAACTATTCCAAACATCCCAAAAAAATCATCTATGTTTTTTTATTTATTCTTTCTTTCAATTTGTAGGGAAAAAAATACATTATTTATTGACTCTACTAAAAGGCATGAATGCTGAAAATTGACAAACAGTTAGGGATGGAACGAGTATTTATAAATGAGATGACTTGAAGACCAATCCCAACCAAAATCCAAGTTAAAACCATCTTAGACTTTGCAAAATCGTTGGCGACTGCTCGAGCCATGAAAATCCCTAGAGATTGGGTGTCTGCTTCCACTTGAGATCTCAGTTTTTTAATAGATCTAGTGTCTGCTTCCACTTGAGATCTCAGTTTTTTAATAGATGGAAACAAAGTTGATTGAAAACTCACAATTTTCATACAATGGAAGATTTTTTCTTTCAAGATTGTCCCTTAGCTATCCTTCAAGTCAAAAGTTTTCCTATAAAAAATTGGATATGTTGTGGCTAAGATTTTTCTTTATACTTTGTTTGGATTTGACTTGCTTTCATATGTATTTTTTCTTCTATGATTTTGCTAAGCCGTCAAGTCACACAAGGAGGGTTCTTTCCATTCTAGTTGCTCCCAGTATGTATTATTATTTCTTCTATGATTTTGCTAAGCAGACACAAAGGATGAATAAAATGATTGATATTTGCTCCCAATAGGTATTATTTCTTTAATTGTGATTTTGAAGGTTGGAGCTAGTCCTCCTAGGCATTTGTACATCAACTTCTCATCACACCAAAATCCCATCCAATCAATTTCCATTTGATTCAAATTCTTGTTAGCCCTCCAACACATAGGAGAATATAATGATTGATGTTGGCCCTCCAGTACTACTAAATCAATGACAGCCTAAGTTTTCTAATCCGAGATTAAATCGTCTGAGAATTCAACATGACCAGCCTTAAGACGACCAACTTTATTTTGTTCATGTTGTATCTCAAGGGGGAATAATGAAGGAGAATTTTCCTCTTCTTGGTTGATAAAATCCAGAACGAGACACAAGGAGAAATCCCGGGCAAAAATTACATAGGAGGGAAAAAGGCCAAACTACACATCAACCCATAAGCTAAATTCTTCCGGCAAATCAATCAAGAAACAAAAGAAAGAGATTCCTAATAGTATTTATCAAAAGAGAGAGAGAGAGAGAGAGAGATTCCTAATAGTAATCCAAAAAAGGGCTCAATATCAAATGTTTCGACTCCAAAATAAAAACTACACCTCCATTAAAGATTCTCCTGTTGTGCTCCTAGATGCATCACCAAAAACAAATCACTGAAGACTTCGACCCATTTCTTTCTTCCTCTTTCTTCTTCCCTTTTTTTTTTGACAAGTAAATATATTAGAAAGGTGCCAAAAAAAGGAGCACAGTCACCACTTTACACCGGCTATGTTTGATTTCGGTTTGGATTAGGCAGATAAGATATGCCCGAATGTGTAAGCCAGGCAAAGGCATTTTAGTCATTCACATGCAAAAGAGTTATCCCCGGTTCAACTGTCCCACCTCTAGGACAAAATAATCCCTCATATGTAGGTAAAGGGGTCACGTGGGATTAGCTATTCTGAGCAACTTTTGCAGTACCAAATGTGGGATTATTTACAAAACAACACAAGGATGAGGAGTCACAAGTCACTACATCTTAGTTGCCAACTTCATATGCAAATGGAAATACAACATGAGTTACATCAGACAGATCAGTAACAAAGGCACATATGCTTCCACAGTCCACCATTAATAGTTGGCCTCTAAAAACTCCCACTAATAAAAGCCAACATAACTTGATCATTCATTTAAGAATGGAAGTCATGGCTTTCATGGATATAATAAATAGACTTAGTTATCAAAAAGAGGACAAAGCATGTTGTTCTTCTCATGCAATATATATCTCGAGCTTTTTTTCTCTTGCTAAAAAAATAAAAGAACAGAATTTGATGTACATCATGTACTAAACAAGCTCTTAAATACTTAACACTGATAATTAAACAGCCAAGGCATAGATAAAAGATACTTGCAAACTGCCTTCAGACACAAAGAAAGAAAAAATTACTTTCACACAAATTCTACAGATACAAGTTGAGAATTCAACAAATCATAAAGGGCTTGTTTGGTTTGTATCTCAAGATACAATTTTTGAGAAAAAATTTCAAAATTTTGTTTGTTTCAAATTTTTTGAAAAAAATTTCCAAAATCACACTCTCCCACACATCAATCAATCACTTTTTCTCTCTCCACTCTCCTTCTTAATCACTTTTTCTCTCACACACATCTACTCAACTATAACAAAATATCAAATCATCCCAAACTCCATAACTATTTTCAAAACATACAACCAAACAAGCCAAAAAAAATTCTAAACTCTCTCCCCAAAATTGTTTTTGAAAATTTATCTCAAAACACAAACCAAACACCCCAAAACTTCTCACAAACCATCAATAAGAAAAATGCTTTGAAAATTCTCGTAAGTGAAACTTGCCAGCAGTTAAAATGAAAGCAATACAAAAGCAATCATAAGGTAAATAATCTTTTTGTACCTGTCTAAACGAACAAAAATATTTCTACTTTAACACACGCATCATAAACTGTGCTAAAAAACTAGATTGAACTTGGGATGAGTATGATATAAATGCTTCACTGGCAATCCCCTATATATTTAAATTAACCAGGGACTTCTATTATCTTATCACCAATCTGAATTAAAATAGCAGTACCCCTATTACTGATAATGGTAATTAAGGATAGTGGAGATAAAGAGCCATAAAATTATGTAATTATGAACCATATTGATGAAAATCAAATAAGAACAAGAAGCCTTTCAAGCTGACAAAGTTTGTACACAGAAACCTAAACCCTAATATTGTGTTAAACATAAATTACATTCCCTTCCAACAAAGTATGTTATTTTATAACATTTTTCCCCCCATATAGCAGCAATAGCATTTGTAAAATAAAATAGAATTGACATAAATAAAGGAGTGGAATTATTGGTATAAAATGAGTAATTATTGAAACAGAAACCAAATCAGATAATAAACAAACTTAAAACTGGTAAATTGAAACCCTTTTATTTCACAGTTGTAAATGACATAGTGAAATCAGTAACACCATACCTGCACATCCTTCATCAAATAGAGACATGAAAGACTCAGTGCAATCACAAGCAGCTACAGAAAACTCATCCCCTCTATTTAAAGCTTTATGAAATGCGTCTTTGAATCTATCCAGAGTTCCCGACCTTATGTGTCCTAACATGGATTGGTAGGCCGGATGAACAAGCTGAAAAATCAAGAGACAAGCAATGAGGAAAGGGAATATAAATTGATAAATAACAGCTTGCATGTATCAAAATATTATACAAGGAAACAATCAGAATTTACTAGTGACCTTGTGACCTGGTAGTATCAAGAGCCTCTACAGATGAGAAGCTCAAGTAATCAAGTCCTCTCCCTCTATGAGCTTAATAGGAGAGGGAGTCTTAAATTAAATTACCAAAAACAATATTTTCAAAAAGAAATGTTGTATAGGAACGGCATCGAGCATGGGCCACAAGGACAAACAACAGCCTCTTTTTGTAAAATCCCTATCTAATCAGACCACTTAAGGTGCAGTTTTTCTTCTTTATGCACTGTTCAAAAATCTGGGTGTCATGTTATAAGACGGTGTCTCTACACAAACAAGTGATGAAAAATGTTGTACATATAAATGTTTTGTTTAAGTTAATGTCAAAAAGTGGTAGGCCAATTCCAACAGTGAACTCAGATACCAAGATTACAAATCTCAATCAGATCATTCATTAACCTCAGCTTTCTATATCCTCTAAATGCATATTGGACACAGATTCCAACCATCTTCCAGCTATACATGATTGTGATACTTCCCTCATCGTTAGAACAATAAATGGTATAAAAATTCAAAATTTTACACACAGCCATAAGGAGGCATTACTTGCAGCAATTTCTCTTCCAACTGCTTTCGTTTTGCTGATCTAACACCTTCATCAAAATACGTAGCCTCCATATCATACCTAAAAAAATAAAAGAATTTCAATAACTCAACTTTGTGATAGACATCTCAACATTATTCTTGAAGAGATATAGCAAACATCTCTAGACTATCAAAACAAAATTTCAAATTATTATACATCAGATTACAACAAACTTCGAAATAAATGTAAAGGTGGCTCATACTATCTCATAAACAAAGAAAGCTACAAGGTCAAATTGAAATGAACCAAACATTACCAAAAAGACAAAGACGACAAACGTGAGATATATTGATAGATATATAGAGAAATACAAAGCTGAACTAAACCATTCAAATTTATGGCCGAGTTCCAATCTTACACAGAGAAAATCAACTATTCCTCCCACCAGCATCAACTCTCCACCACCATAGGCCATCAACACTCCTCTCATTTTACAAATGACAAAAAATCAGAAGATATTCCAGAGGTGCCAGTACATCATATCAGCAACTGCTTAAGGTGCTTAACAAAAAGCCAATTTAATGTTTCTTTCCCAATTCTTCGTCTCCCTGAATTCTTTAAAATTTGTTCTCTCTAAGTAAATCCCAACCCTATAACAATAAAACAAACCACTCTTCAATTGAAGTTTCCATTTCATTGTAATGGGGTCTTTTACAAATAAGAATGCTACAAGTATTGGAGAGCTAAAATACTGCTCTTTTGTCCCCTCACATTTATTAACCACATTCATACAGTTTCGCGCATCAGGCATTGATGCAGAGTACAAGAAGCTCAAGAAAGAATAAATTTAAAGCGGAGGCGATAAAACCATGCTTCTATCCATGCCAATTTAAAGAATAAATTGGCATGTTTTCAAAGATAAACCGATAAAAACCAATTACTTGAAAAATTAAACCATGCTTCTATACAAATTACTTGAAAAAGATACTTTCACACAAATTCTACAGATACAAGTTGAGAATTCAAACAACTAAATTGGGCACAATTAATATGTATATATGCAAATATATAGCACATATTATGTATGTAAAATTACTAACCTTGTCAATTGTGGCGAAAATGGACATGTTCTTGACCTCCCAATCCCCAGCCGAATGACATCCGGGTGGGGTGGATGCCGCCACAGCAGGAAGAAGCGATTTCCTCTCAACCAAACTGGCCCGGCGGCTTAAGGAGGAGGAGGAGGAGGGGTTCTCACGGTACTGCTCATCATCATCAAAGTCATTTTCTCTGGTAATTTTTTTCCGGTGGTGGCGGCGTCGTTTTGCCAACTGCGAAAGCTCTTTCTTCGCGGTGGATCCCGAACCCACTTCCGCAAATTTCCTTAGCAGTTCGTCTGATGAAGCCTTCGCTGTTGCTTGTGCACTCCCACTGTCCATTCGAGAGAGAGAAACCCTAACCAAAACTTTTCAGAGAGCGATAGTGGGTTTGGGATGTGAGCTTTAATCGCAATGAGGAGAGAGGAGGATGAAAAGATGTAAGTGGAACATTTGTCTCCGTTGCAATTTTGTGAGAGAAATGTACCGTTGGGTGGGGGCGGTGGTGAGTACAGCCGTTGTTGGATAGTAACCAAACACGCCTCAAAATTCTAATAAAAATTCTAATAATCAAACTTTTTGAAATTGTAATAATCAAACTTTTTGAAATTATAATTCTAATAAAAAAAAAGGTTCAAAAGTCTTTTCTAAATATGTAACCGAACATACAACTTAAAATTTAATTTAAAATTCTTTTCAAAACTCATAATTAAACTCTTTTTAAAATTTTATTTAAAGAAAAATTTAAAAAAAATATTTTTTTATTTTATGTTTTAAGATAATGATTTTATTTTTTAAAATATTTAATTTTTTTTTAATTTCAAAAAAAAATTGGATGGCCATATATATCTAAACCATAACAAATTATTTGGCCAATACTTAAAAAAATAACAAAAAATATTTTTCAATAAAATAAAAAAATAAAAAAATATATTTTGATTAAAAAGTTCTTGAATTGAGCTTTGAGTTTTGAGTTATACGTTTGGTTATGAGTTTAAAAATAGTTTTTGAAATGATTTTGGAGTTATGTGTTTGCTTATGATTTGAGTGTGAAGTTGCGTTTTGAATTTAAAAAATTTACAAAAATGAAATAAAATATTTAAAATGAAAAATAAAATTTTCTTAAACGTTTTAAAATATTTAAAAGAAATAAATTCAAAAAATTTCAAAATACAACTCAAAATTCAAAAACTTAAAACTCAAAATACAATTTAAAACTCTTTTCAAAATTCAAAATTCAAAAACTCAAAAATATTTTCAAAACTCATAACCAAATAAATTTTTATTTTTTTAAAATTGAACTAACAACTCGACACTTAAAATCACGATTTCACACTTAAATCATAATTATAAAATTAAACTAAACGTATTTTACCCTAAAATCTTACACTTACTAATATACCTTTCACATTCTCTCTCTCTCTCTCATTTATTACTACAGGGGTTAAAAGATAAATAATATTTTTTTACCGTATAGACAAATACACATATATCTTTCACATTCTCTCTCTCTCTCTCATTTATTACTACAGGGGTTAAAAGATAAATAATATTTTTTTACCGTATAGACAAATACACATATATGTACAATTTTAAAACAACGCCCAATTAGTACACATTAATGTGTGTTTGGGAGGGAAAAGATTGAGTACACACCTAACCTTTAGCATAATACACATATATGTACAACATTAATGTGTGTTTGGGAGGGAAAAGATTGAGTACACACCTAACCTTTAGCATAATGCACAAAGGTGTGGCCCCAAGACTTGAAACCATAACCTTAAGGTTATTAGGCCAAGTCTTAACCATTGAACCAATGGTCACCCCTTACATATATGTACAATATGGTATATAAATTATATATATACACATAAAAAAATTTAAATATCATATAAACAATCTCTAATAGAATGAATAAATTTTTTTTCTTGAAAAATAACAGAGAATAAAAGATGAAAACAGAATGAACTATATATCTTTTATACTAAGATGCTATTTTATTTATAAAATAATACACGAAAAATAAAATTTTCACAGAGACAAAGGGGTCATGACCCCTCATAATCTTCTCCTAATTCTATCCCAGCACACGTACACTCACCTCATTCTTTTAATAAAAAAAAACAAAAATAAAAAAAATTTATCTTTATATTTTAAATTTATTTTATTTTATTAAAATATATTTAATATTTAATATACAAATTCTATTTTTATAAAATTGATATTGTTCTAAAAATATATTTAAAATTTTAAAATGCAACTAATATTTCACATATTTAATAAAAATTTAAATTAATAATCTAAAATATATAAAAATTTATAGAATTAAAATAATTTGTATGATTTAAGTTAATATAAATAATAAAATTACTTTTCTAATTAATATATATATATATATATATATATTGGTAGGAGAAAACGTTTAGAATAATGCTAATGTAAATAAAAACATATTAATTCAAACCATGCAAATAATAACTCAAACCAAAATAATAATATAATAATAAAAATAATAATGGCCATGTTTGATTCCACACACAAAGTAAGACTTGCACCCACACAAACTAAACTTACACTTCATACATACTAGACTTGTATCCCTACACATATTAGACTTGCACCCCACACCCTACACAGATTAAACTTTTTTTGGGTGAATAGAGTACAAAAAACTTGTGTCCCATATATATTAGACTTGCATCCCTGCACAAATTCAACTTGCACCCCTCACAAATTAAACTTGCACTCTACACTAACTAAACTTTCACCTCTACACAGATTCAACATGCACGCCAACATAAACTAGACTTGCACTACTACACAGATTTGACTTGCACACTCTACGCATACTGAATATGCATCCCTACATAGACTAAAGTCTCATTTGGCAAGTGATGATTTTAGTCAAAAAGCCAAAAAGTCACTAAAAAAATCAAAAAATCAACTACTTATACCAAAAGTCAAAGATTCCCCTTTTCTCTCTACTTATTGCACATCTTTTCGTAAAAAAATCAAAAACTCATCCCAAACATACTAGTTTTTTTTATATCATATTTTAACCAAAAAGTCAAAAAATTACTAAAAAAG